CGGCGCCATCTGCATCAGTTGCATTCTTGTCAACTTCGGCGCCCAGCAGCAACTGTACAGCCTCCACTTGGCCCTCACACGATGCCAAGTGAAGTGCTGTGAGGCCATCTGTAGTGACAGCATCCTTGCTAACTGCAGCCTCCAGCAAGGCATGCATGACATCCACGTGGCCTGGGACAGCGGCCCGGTGTAAAGCTGTCAGGCCGTGGTTGTCAGCCATGCCCGTGTCAGCACGGAGTTCCAAAAATAGTCGCACTACGTCTAGGAAGCCTCCACGGGATGCTGCAAGGAGGGGTGTCGAACCCGATGTGCTTGCCATGTTGTGGGAAGCCTTGGCCTCGAGAAGCAAACGTATGATCTCCATCTGCCCGTTTCTGGATGCTGCTATGAGCGGAGATATGCCTTGAGCGTCCATGAGATTGGGGTCCAAGGGCTGCCGCAATGCTGAATCAACCTGATCAACACAGCCGTCCCTCGCAGCGAGGACCATGGCCTCCGATTCCTCCTCTGAAGCATCAGCAAAGAGCAGCAGGACTATCCTTAGTGTTAGGTCCTCGCCGCATGTAATGATCACGCGTAATTAGGGAAGACCTCAGGAGCCAACACGGCAAAGACTCAAAGCAGCCCAGCATCTGTGCATCGATTGCTGACAGCAAAGGCTCAGCATCTTTCAAAATACTGCCGTGGTACAGAAGCCTCTGTCCTAGGTTCCGCTGTGACTAAAAAACACCAAAGCATACCAGTAGGTGGTTCGGACTCTGCAGAAAAACCTCAGAGAGATATATACTCTTTGCACAATAAGTATCTGAATCTCGGAATGCCGCAGCGTCCTTCTATGAAGCCCTTCCAAGCGCCTATCGTCGGCTCGCCATTGATCTCCAACAGCTCTGCCAAATGAAGCTCGAAGCTGCCGCCAGAAAAGCACCGAGCGCGAAGCATAGCTGGCAGAAGTTGATAAGCCCAATTGTTATAGGGTTTCTGGGGTTATATAGGGGTTATATAGGTATAAGTTTTGAAGGTAAGAACGGAGAATCAATCCCCTACGTCTTGGATTGATGATGCTATAAGGTTGGTAGAACATTTGCCTTGATCCTGCGCCCCTCTTCTTCTACTTCCTGCTGTTTTCCAATTGTAGAAACGGGCGGTCAGATAATATGCTTGAAAAACCTTCCAGATACCACTGCTCACTATGAATCTGCTCATCACATTATTAGAATCATTAATCCACGCAGTTCTTTCCAGCACTGCTGTCATGCTGTTGTTGGACAGCATCTAGTCTTACAATGCGGCTGTCATTACCTGCATTAAACTATCTTGGGCCACAGCAGCATGTCTCTGTCCGGGAGAAACCCCTCAAACTGCCAGCGCTTGGAGACGGACCGTGCTGTGCCATGACTCTGAGACTTCTCGAAGAACATCTACTGGACTTCTTGAACAAACTGCTCACGCTCTTCGCTGTGCACGCATGCCATGTAGCTCGCGCATTTCAAATGCGACTTCCCTATGCAAAGCATTTATAAACAGTCCGGGACATCCCAAGGATTTGTCCCGATCACCGCATCCGATGGCCAGGCACGCGTGATGAACCAAAGCTCAGGAACTGGAGCTTCTCAGAGTTAGAAGGGCACTTCATGCCCTCGAACCAATACACTGCACTTTTTGTCGGGCCCTATTATCTGAAACAACCACTTGCATAAGTATGCCAAGTTGCAAGCAATGGACATTCTTGAGCAGTTGTTGTGGGAGGTGCTTCTGGTGTGCTGGCATCAGCAAAGATTAGCTAGTATAATGTATCCTTGCCCGTTCTGTGATTAGGAAGCCCAGCCCCTTCCAATATCCACTGCTCCCTACCTCCCTCCCTTCCTCCCTTTTCTCTGAAAACGCAACCCTCAAGTCCAACAAGCAACACCCTACTCTGCCCTAAACTCACATGGAACTCCCAACAAGGCACCATAAAGAGTACTTTCCTGTTTAGAGAACCTCTATAGGGTATTATGGTGTTCCATGCTAGTTTGGGGAGGGTAAGGGTCAACTCCCATCCTTGGCGTTCAATCTTGGATCGCTGTTTGCAAGTGCGAACTTGTTGAGAGCTGCTTGTACCTGCGCTGCGGTATCGACGTTCAGATTTTGTGCAGATGTTTAGAGAATTCTCGGTTGAGCTTTGCTGCCATTATACAGCTGCATAGGGATCATCATTCTAGGGCTGCTGGTCATGGATCTTCTTCTGGAAATCACAACCCCTGTTGCGAAAGACTCAGTTTTCATGGCGTATCCAGGGGATGCTGATGTTGAGAAAGATCCCTCGATCTGCCGAAAACCCTTCATGCGGAATCCCATGGCGGCATGAACCATGGAGAGGACCATGAAGGTCGTTAAGGGTCGTGGAGCCTCATGGGGCCTGACACAATGGTTGAATCAGAGGTCCAAGTGCCGTTCTTCTTGCGGGAATTGATGGTGGGTTTCTGAAAATGCGGTAGCGCCCGATAGCCCTAGGGGTGTATGTTCGGATTGTCAGGGGATGGCACGGTTACATCGTACCGAAAACGCCTATGAGAATAATTTTGCCAGACCACTTTTAGGTCTCCCATATCTGAGAATTGCATCGGGGACTTATGTTTGCATCCTCGGCCTTTGTAAGCACTTCCCCCATTCTTCGTATCTGTCGTTTGTGCGAGCTGTTGTTCTCAAAACACGTTCAAGGAATTTAACCAGTTAGAGTTTGCATACGTAGCCTGTGCACTCGCACTGCGAAAGCGATCTATCCAAAGATACACATTTGGGATATGTAGCGTGCTACAGGATAAAGAAGCCACGCAAGGTTGCGTAGACACCTTGCCCTCAGATGTTGCCCAGCTGGTATGCTCGCATGTAATCCTTGCCACAGAGTGTTGAACTTCCGTCCTGATACTGATAATGATTCTCCTTACTACCATTATCACCACCACCATCATCATCATCATAACCGTCATCGTTGTCACCTGTAAAGGCCAAAGTTCATGAACATGTAGACGCGTGCCGGAAGACATACTGAGAAGCACGTCCAATGTTAGGGCCTTAGAGGTTTGTCTGTGCGTGTGTAATAGTACGGGCAGGCGATCACATATGGATGGCGGAATAGACCCCTATTTGAGGAGGCTGGGGAGCCTTGCGAGATGCGGCAAATTGCTGGTCGTCAGTCAGGATTTTTTCAGACACTGTTCTAATGGGTTCAGACTGTCAGCTTCCCTCCACCACTCGAGAGACTACCTTCGCAGGCTCTTGTTCTATGTGACTCTCGCAAAAAAGAATCCCCTTCCTTCCCGTGTAAGCCTGATGCGGATCCCAGGGCCCTGCATGACTTACCAAGGCAGCTCTACACAAGCCACATCTTATAATCCTCTTGACGGATAGAAGTTCTGCATGAACTTTTCCAAAAACTGGAGTCCCACAAACCTTACATCTCCCCAAAACCAGAACCCTTCTCAAATTGGCCCCAAAGGGCGCCCCTTGGAAACCCCCACGCAACCACTCACATCTCAGAGCCTCCGGGTACTTCTCCGCAATCCTTCGCGGGCACTAACGACTTATGGCTTGCGGTCGGAAGTGTACCCAGACCGGTTTAGAGTTTGGGTTCATGGCAAAACGTTGTTTCTTCTCCGTACAGCTAAATGGCTAAATGACAGTCGCATATATAATTCCCCACCCCCCCCCCCTNNCCCCCCCCCCCCCCCCCCTCTAAGCAGTTTAGACGAAAGCTCAGATTGAGGTCGAGCATGCTGCTAGCACATGAAGACGATGAAGAGATTTTCGCAGCAAGCCGTCAGTTTATAGAACCCCCCCCCATCGCCATAACCCGTGTAAACAACGACGAAGCATCAACGGAACCCTGGCATGTCACACTTGTAATGTGCACTCAGCCCTAATCTTACTGGATCTTAGTAAGGAAAGATGGAATATCCTCCCTTTAGATTCTATTCCCATAAGTTCCCTACTCAGCCCCAGTAAGCTAATTTGGGCTTCGGATCTTGGGGCTTGTGCTTCGGCATCGAAAGTCAAAGGTTGAAACCATGGGCCNNCCCCTGGTATGGGCCCTTAACTCTGGGATCCTTGTATACGTACTATATACCCTATATGTACCCTTATCGGTCCCTAGAATCCCCCAAAAGGCCTAAGGGCCCATCATAAGAGGAGCCCATACTTCTAACCTCGGATTCTTAGTAGGTTTTTTTGTAACATGCCGGGTGAAGCACATCTCCCAGGACAAGGAGACAGCCAAAAACAGGCAGAGCCATGCAGGGCACCATCCAGGACGCAAGCCGAACGAGATCCCACAAACAACTGGATCCCTAAAATAACAAGTAGCAAGAAACAACGCAACCAGTACCCATCACAGCCCTGCCATCAAAAGTACTCCACAAGTTTATTCACAGGGTTTCGGGTTTAGGGTTGGTAGGGAATATGGGAATACAGTCTATAGGGATCATATTGGATGATAATATTCCCGTGCTGCCTACTACGAACCGGTATGTTAAAGTGGCAAACGTATGCAACTTCTCCAGATGCCCGGAGAAATGCGTAGATGTCTTGCCACCCTTTCATGCATGCTGCGAGTCAAAACAAGCATCTTCAAAACGCCATTAGGCTTATCTAAGCGATCCACAAGTAATGAAATCCATTTGGACAAGCGCTATGAGAGAAGTTAAGAAAGGCTCTTCATGTTCTTCAATGTCAAGAACTTCAGGCGGACGGTTTTGGAAATCGTTGTCTGCTGGATGAATCCAAAGCCGCCCGTGAGAGTCAACAGAACCTGGAACTTCCCTGTCAAAAGCATGTAATTTCTGCCAACATCTTGCTGCCGGTTTCCATGCCTCGGAGAGACACCCTGGTAGGCCATAAAGACTAAGGACTGCGTGATCCAAAGATCTTAGACTCAGGGTCAGACACCCTAACCTCTGAAAACGAAGGGTTTGTCTGCTGCTCAACATGGAGTCGGGGCCTGTTAGGTTTCCCCCTAAACAGTACTACAGGTCAGGCAAAGACCGAAACTGCAAAATCTCAAGCCATGACATGCGCGGTCCCAAGCCCCTAGCTCCTATAGCCCTCAAAGCCGCACTCTCTGACAGACACGGGGTCCGCTTGAAGCTCCGGTTGTAGATGATCCGTACGTCGCAGAAAGTGGTGGCAGTTACAGTAGCCGTACGGACCAGAGCGGCGCCCAGGAACACCAGTTCACCTCAGGTTTGAACAAGCAAGTGGTTGCGCTGCTCGAGATGATTCGATACTGCATCTTCTGAGTACCACATGCGATGGAATATGAAGTGTTTTGGCGCTTCTCAATGCTGCACTCCACGTGCGACCGTGCTGCATATTCCAGTCGTGTGGGCGGTTTTGAAATTTGAGGTGCTCTTGGCCAGCGATTAACAACGGCCATGAGGGATTTCGCGAGTCTCAGAAATTGCGCAAGTGATTTCCAACCTGCATGTCTTTAGCAGTGGATAGCCCTATAGGCGTTGCTTCTCAGGATTGCCATGTGTCATGTGACGGCTTAGGTTTGAAAGGGGCTTTACCCTTGGAGATCTCGGAGGTCCTATGTTTGTTCATCCCAACTGCATCTCTCAGTCCATTAGTTGGTCCGTGATGGAACTAGATCAAGCCTAAGTAAATTGAAGCCCGCATCCGGGGGTTTGAACACACAAACAAGTGCATGTTGCGTTTTGGGGTTCCAGGTGTCGGGTGTGAAAAGAGGGGAGGGTGCGGTTTTGACTTGTTGCATGCCAGTGAGTTTTTTTCAAAAAAAGGGGGGCCCTTATAAGACACTATACATGCCAATTTAATACAATCCTTGCTATAAGTACTCTCAAAGAAACCTTAATTTTCTGGGAACCCCAAGTAAGTTTGCAAGCTGAGTGGCCGAAGTAAGAGCCTTCTCCCAGGTGCTTCACCACGCGGCCATTGACAGACGCGGCCACACGGCCTCAGGGGTTAGACTCTTCCTTCGGGGAATCAAAGGCTTTGCTGCCCTTCTTGTGACTGGTGCGGAGTGAAACTCTGGTTCGAACTGTTTCCTATGCTTATTGGCAGCAAGGTGGAGAAATATACCTCTGGGTCGACAGGGTTCAGGGGTAAGATGAACCTGCTCTTATTCGAGCATGGGGGCAGATACCGACCAACTGAATACCGGGTACTGTAATAAACGCTACTGTTGGTAATCCCCTGCCCTTAGCAGACATCCACCAGCTAATGCTGAGCATGGTCCCTAATCTACATTTATTCCAGCTGCGATATGGAATATTACGGAATATTCAATGTCATGCGGCAGAGGGTGGTCTCGCTACAAGCGGGAAGTCATGCTATGGGACCCACGTCTGAGGCCGAGATAAGGGGCTGACTGTAGGATACCAAAGTGGTTTAGAGGAAGTGATCCATCGTCGCTCCACTCTAAGCCTGCAGTGCAATGACTTTTGATATGGTCTCAGCTATGTAGACCCCTAGCCTGCTACAACTTCAAAGCCCAGTCGGTATGGTTGTGGCGCTTCAAGAAGTAATAAGCACAGGACGCCTATGAGGGTGGCACTTTGGATCTTGTCCTACTAGTAAGTCAGGGCTTGTCAGGCTCCCGATGACCAGCAGCGTGGAAACATCATTGTGAGAAACCAGAAACCAACAGCTGTTTTCCGCGGCGCCTGCGGGGAAAAACAGAGCACAAGTATCCCGTTCTAGTCCGAATTCTGAGTATGAGCGCATTGCACAAAGGCTTTGAACTCAAGCGGGAAGCATGCATGGTGGATGTAGCAGGTTCCCTATTCCTGGCACCTTGAGTTCCGGTTGGGGCCAGGAAACGCGGTCCATCCGTAAGTGCCTGGGACTATTTCGATTTTACAGAGGAACTGACCGCGTAAACCCACCAAGGAGTGTCAAGACAAATGTGTAGTCAAGCCCCATAAGTGGCAACGGCCGCTGCTGGTACAATACATGCGCTTGCACGCTCACCTACCATCACCACACCAGCTGAGAGAGCTCCAGCCTCAAGTATCGATGCCAACAACGCGTGAAAACTGAAAAACATAAACCTTGTCTTGCTAGGTGCCCAAGCGCGTTACATATCCACTGCCCTTAACCCTAAACCTCAAACCCTATACACCCTAAACCTTAAACCTCATAAACCCTAAACCATATAAACCCTATAAACCCTAAACCTTAAACCCTATAAACCCTAGCCCATACCAACCCGAAACCCTAAATTCAGACCAGCATCCCTTGGACACCACCATCATGCTGTCGCCAGGAGTTCCCTCACGCAGCAGGACTGTACCAGGCATGACCAGGACTTTGCGAATGCTTTCCTTGCGGCTTAGGGTTTAGGGGTTATGATAGCCCTAAGGGTCCATGGAATCAAAGAATGGGGTTTTAGGGCCCAAATACTATAATCTGAATGACATTTTGAAACTGATGTCCCAGTAGTTAAGTCCTTGGACTGTTGGGGTCAGAGTTGACAGGGATGCCAATACCCCTCTACTTCAGAAATCTTCTTCAGGTCATGGTAGCGGCCCTTGTAACATGTGAAGTATACTCATGAGTTAAGCTAGCGCTCTCAGGACTGCTTAGGATCCAGAATTTGAAGCCTGCAGCAACCTTCGCTCTTGCTATAATGTGGAAGATCAGGCCGTGAAGGCCGCAGCCTCCGCTCAAGATAGGAGGGTTTACGGTTTAGGGCGCCAACGACCCATGCAACAGGGGTCGCACATGGGGGTAAGGGACGAGCTTGGCCCTGAGGGTTCAGGGGTATGGTGTTGACAAACACTTGCAGACCTAACTGCTGGGACTCTGCAAGTTGACTGCAATTCCAAACTTTCTTTGGTATCAGCCCAAACGAATAAGCCCCTGAAGCCCCTCGCATAAACAGGGGGCCCATCATATGGATACCAATAGTTTAGAATGCTTACTTACTATAGGTACCCCCACGAACCGACACCCCTTTGTAAAAAGATACAAAAAAACATCCTGAAGCCTAGGCCCTACACCCTTGAGCCACGGCACCGGGCTGCTGAGCAGCTCGTCTAGAAAGGCCGGTCCAAAGTTGCCTGGGCTTTTGCACTGAGCTATGTCTATTACCAGTGGGTCAAGGTTTTTAGCCTTGCGGTTTGCGACTTCTGGTTCTCAAGGTTCGAGGGTTGGAGTTTAAGGCTTGGGTTTTGAGGCTTTGGGGTTTCGCGCCGGTGGCAGCAAACTTTAGGGTTTGGAGTTTGGGGTTTGAGGTTGAGCGGGCACGTTACGAAACACTAGTGCTTTGGATGTGTAATGTATGGAATTTGAGACGGAAATCTTGCTGGGTGAGATGAAGGGATTGGCGGTTCCGGCCTTAGGCATGAATATTCCCTAGCAAGGGTCTTAGATATAGAATATAAGCAGCACTATTCTTTTACTAATGGTAAATACAATGTGGTCGTAGCTCTGGCTTTGCGTTTCTTATAGGGGTCGAGGGGTTGCGGGCAGGGTATGGGCGTGTCTGAAAAACGGGCGTCTCCCAAGAAACCCCTCGCATCTGCATTTCGAGACACAAAGAGAGAGAGGTGCTGCAATGATTATGAGGATCCATCGATCGGGTTGTTGGGATGCGTTAAGGTAAGTGATAGGGGGTTTGGAGTGTAGGAGACAGGGTTGAAGGTAGGCATTTCAGCAAAGCGTTAGGAGTTAGAACTCTCCATGTGTAGGAGAGGATTCCGAGGTGGCGGAAGCAAGTAAAAAATATCGAATGCTACAGCGTGCCAGCTGCAGGGCATCACTTTAAGCTTCTCCTTCTTCACGGTCATCTTGAGCAGTTTTGTTCTTGTTTGTTTGGTGTGTTGTGCATTGCTGACTTGGCAATGTAAGGGCTGTTCGATCTAGAAGTAATCACGGCTGAATAACAAACATTAACAGTGTACGCCATTGCCTATGGCATATAGGCATGTGCCTTGGGAGGGGAATTCTTATTAGTAGGGGTGCGGGGCATTCCCAGTTCTCCTTTATCCCCACACCACACACCCAAGAAAGTGTGCTCGCCAAGGTGCGGAAGAAGTCTATTCTCTTGAGCATCTCTGCGTCGATCACGTTCTCTTCGAGGACTTCTCGCCGACAGAACTTCCTCGTGCGGAATGACCCGGACGACAGAGCACTCTTTATTTGGGAGGGGTATGGCGAATGGAGAGGTATTCCGCTCTTCCACCCACGGAACAGCTTCAACATTGTTGTGCGGATACCCCCCGGCTCAATGCTCGGGCCCTGGACAATCTTTATCTTCGAGCAACGTATCGCTTCTTTTGGGGGCCCATAGGCCCAAATGGGTCCAACTACATGGCTCTTCATCTTGCCTCGGGGTCGGAAGGTAAGAAGACTTTCAAAGAAAAGTCTAAGAGCCACCATGGATCCTGTGAGAGCCACCTGAGAGCCACCTGTGAGAGCCAGGGAATGGAAGCAGGACATGTTGGAGCTTCATCACAGGGGTTGCGGACCATTTAGGGAATCATTTCTTCATTCCCCACAAAGAAGCTGGTGGATGACCGCATCAATGGTTCCTGCAAGGCCACAGGCTGCGTTGTAAGTTGCATGCTTCCTTGAAGCTCCGCTTGGCTCAAGTGAGTATCTCCTACAGCCAAAGCTGCTTGAGAACCATTTCGAGACAACAAACTTAACTTTTCGAGACATCCCCAAGTAGCTTGGATTCACGAGCCCCGCTGCGGGGATCTGCGAATATTTAAGAGCAAACAGCATGCGTGAAGCACTAGGGTGTACAGTGAACAGCAGGAGGCCCCCAACATTTAGGATCTGCAAGGTCGTCTCCATCTAAGAGCTGCTCAACTTATGTGGGGCGCTCCAATTTGTCCAATTCAGGGCTTTCCTCGCCATCAATGTCATGCTTTGCTCACTATCTGCTAAATTGCCAAAGAACATCAGCTTTCCCCACGACTACTTCCACACAAACCCTAAACTCTAAACCCTAAACAACCCGCAACACCATCGAGCTGGGCAGCTGATCATCCAGAAACCACTTGCTGGGGATCTCCTGACGTTGCGGGACTTCGCGCTCAAGTAAAGGGTTCAAGCATGTTCAAGCTAAAAATGCGTTGAGAATGAGAACCCAACGAACTTCATCTACTGTGCAAAGCTGGACACTTCTGAACAGATTGCCTTATAATTGGGATAGAACCAAGCCCTGGAACTGTGTAGGATGCGGGGGCCCAAGTCAAAACGCAGTGCCGAAGCTAGGCACTTCTCAGGTAGATTTGCGTTGGCTCTCGGCAGTGCTTAGTCTGGTTTGGGGTTTGGGGCGTCCGCTTTCTTTCTCTACCGGGCGAGGAGGCAAAGAGTCCACCGCGGCCGCTGGCCAGTCTATATAGACTCTCTTTTCGGTCTTGCTGTTGGTCAGGGAAATGCCGCAGCTGAAAGGCACAAGTCTATGAGGCTGCTCAGCAAACTCCAGGCAATGCCCAGAAACCTCCAGGCAGAGGCAGATACTGGTGAGCGTTTGTCTGCAACCCAAAAGCGCACCCAAAGGATTCCACAGAATAGCCTTAAGTTCTTTTTGAACAGAGCTTTAGTTCCTTTTCCTCCTCATGAAGCAGAGGACCCCACTGCTGACAAATGCGGATGCCTTTGGTCTTGGAGGTGGCAGGAAGTTTCAGGAATATAGTCCCCCTGAGGTAGATCAAAAAATGGCTTTGTGTATATTAAAACCCCATAGTGGATCTACTTAAGGGGGACTGTATGAGCTATAGTCTAAACTCCTAGTATCCCCCTTAATATCCCCTATAGTAGTCCCCTATATAACTCCCCTTAAAGGAGTTTAGACTATAGCTCATATGCATGGGTCGCATGGGTATTTGGGTTTGTTCTGGCTAGAGCTGGCACAGCCGTCCTCTCACAATATGCCCAACCCGCGTGCGTGAACCACAGTTGTGGACCATAACACCCAGCGTCCCAGATCCAACAAGGAACTGACAAAGCAACTTTGCCAACCATGCAGTCCAAGACTTGGGCCCTCTTGAGTGCCCAGGCCTCATTCTTAGAAACCGTATACCCTGTCGATGCCTTACACCCCTGGATCTCTAGACTCTTTAAAACCATCTTCATAATTGCACCAAAGAATCTGTTTGGCAACAAGGGAAACGTGGCCATCCAACATAAGTTATGGTGCAAACTCCTCAAACCCCTCTAAGCAACCGCCTCTCAACCCCTCTTAGCTCCTTAAACTATACTCTTCCTGTCCTCGAGCAGATGCTTCAAACCAACTTCCTCCTTCTGTGTCTGAGCCTTGCAGGTCGGACTTCCAGTCAAGTTTAGCTATGGATGTACCTGGGTTACTTGGAGGTACAGGGTCACTGTAACCGTTTTTAAACCAAATACAACTGGTACTTGTAGCCCAATTAAAAGCCTTAATGAGGGACCTAGGGGCCTTACAGGTGGGTTTTAAGACAATTTTGACTGGCTTGTATTTCCCCATTTCCCCGAACTTCCAAGTAGAAGGATACATGGGAAACACAGGGTGAGGATGAAGCATAGAAATTGAGTAGTGAGGACTAATTAAAAGCATTGGTTTCAGGGTGGGGCTTCGACATTTGAGCAATGATGCTCTTGCCATCCATGATTGGGCTTCAGGCTCAGTTCATCAAAAAAGAAACCTCGGAATGACGGTGCTTGGGGTTCTCACAGATGCTATCGCATAGTTGACGGGATGAGGATCGTAGGCCTTAGTCGCGCCTGGGTTGGGGCAGGATGTTCAGGTCAAGGGCTGGCGGACAAAGCCGTCCCTTGGACCAGTGCTTGTGCGCAACCCTAAAACCTATATGCTGCGATGTTCAGAGTGAAGGTTTGGCGAATCTAGGCCACATGCAAACGTGTAACATGCTTTTGGAAAGGCCTTTAAACAGGCTGGGCATCCTAGCTTCAAGTAGATTAGAATGACGAAATCTAGATTTATCAGTCCTGTAAGCGGTAATTATGGGAAATGTAGAATTACAAATCCTATCACGTCTATAGTTGCTAGCTACCGGACGCAGAGAGATAGATATGCAACTGGGACCACCGCCCTTCGAGCCCCAAGCCGAGCGGCAAGAGGTGGTAAACGGAGTCCACGCATGAAGCGCGGCGAAACGGTGTTCTTAAAACTACGAGAACCTGAGATCTGGAGACCCTGTTCTTTGGAGATCTGGGGACCCTCGGGATATCCAGGGTTGGAGGTAGGGAGTAGAAAGATGTAAAACCAAACCTCAACACTGTAGGTTCCTGTGGGATGTTTGAGGTTTCGGGCTCAGGTAGCAATGTTCAACACACTACGAATTGTACAAGTTGCTGGGGCAACTATGCAACTATGGGAAAGAATACGGTATGACCTGACTTTAGTTTGAACGCTTCTTTCGTAGCCGTATCCCTCACCCAGACATCCTGTTGTGGTACACTGACATTCTTCGAAGGATCCCAAAGAAGCAGGCATGTATCACAATATAATATATAGTCCTGCATATGCAGAAGAACAACTTTTAGGGTTTCGAGTTTGGATGTCAGGGCATCTTGCAATACCATACCATTGGGGACCAGGGAATGACACGAAAGCAAACAAAAGGAACCGGGAATTGCACGGGTCAAAATTAATTCTTGCTTGGCTGTTCTCATGCTACGCGCCCAATGCTTTGTTCGAGCTAAGCTTGTCCTTTTGGCAACCCTGACCCTGAGCCACCACTTGTAAAGGTTGCTACTTCGGCAAAGCTCCTGGATCAGCCAGGGCAGCTGAAAACACTGTGATTCTAGCAATCTAGCAAACATCTCCAACGAAGCTGTCTGTCGGCATATTCTTCGTTTTTCTTCCAGTCGACTCTGGCTTTGTGCCCAATACTCGGGAGACAAAGCTTACTCCCAGCTCGTCTTGACCAAGATCAAAGGGCATCTATCATTGAGGTTCATTGGCTGCAGTAGCCTTCATCGCTAGCCTAGCAATTGCTGCCCCGGCGCTATATGCACTGTCGGGCCCATCGTCCTCACGAGCAGATGCAAAATGCTGTTAGTCAAGCTGCTTCCAGCTTCCAGTTCTGGGCCTCTTTGCAATGTTAGGTATTGTGCGGCCCTTCATCTCCGTAACACCAAAGTTCAGTGCACGCAGGGAAGAGCGCAAACGTGCATCATGCATGCGCCTTTCACGACGCTGCCGAGTCATGACAGATTTTGCACAGGCAGTTTTTTTGAAGCAGCTGGAAGAGCGAGCCTGAAAATTCCAGCAAAAGCCTCCAACACAAGGTGCGCCCCAACGGACTGAAGTCTTACAGTTATGATTGAGTTCACTTCCCAGGCCCAGGTGCATTGTTGGGAGCATGCATATACTCCAGAGCTTGGCTCCAACCTGTGCAAATATCCTCCACTAGCTTTTTTCCCCATTGTGGGCCGGGACGAATTTCGAGGTTATGTTGCGGTTTGGGGCTCAACCTCTCAACAGTCGTGGCATGCACAACTACCCGCTTGTGCATTGAATGAAGTGTTTCTTGGACCAACCGTTCAAGTATACTGAAGCAACCCACCCTGAAACCTTACTGGTGAAACTGCTGTATAGCCCGACGTGAAGGAGCGGCGGAAAAAACTGAGCAACCTGCAAACTAACATGGAGCCTCAAAAGGCTAAGGGGTCCCTTTTGGGGATCCTTATGCCCGCCTTAAAAAATGGTAGCCCCCCATTATTCCACTACTTACAAAATCCACAAGCCCTCCACGCATGCATGTCCTCAGCCACTTTTGGCCGTGGACTCGTGCTGGACTCATCCTGTAGCGCGCGCTATCAGAATAGCGGTTTGTCGACATGGGAAACCTCAACGGTTTCAGGGGTTATAGGTTGGTCTATATTAGGGGTTCTATTAAGGGCTATATATAACCATATTACAATTATTATCCAACTATTACTGAGGGGGGGCAGTACTGAAGTTATAGGCATAGGGACATTGAGCCTAAACACCAAACCCCTAAACCCTAAACCCTATACCCTCAACGCTAAACCCAGGATTCCTGAGCTACTGGGTTTGGTCATTCATGTGTGGGGCTTCTCAAAAATACGCAGGG